ACCCACATGCGTTCTCTTATCTAAAGCTGTTTTTATATGATTAACACGACTGATAGATATATCACCGACAACACAAAAAAAAATATATATTGTGTGCCTAGAAAATTTTGAATATTTGTATTTTTTTTTTTTTTTTGAATCCATTGGCTAATAATAAATTTTGTTTAAATTATTTTTGCCGTCAAAGTAAATACAAAGGAATACTCACGCGGTTGGATCGTTTGTAAAATTCAATTCAATTTAAACACCTGCGATTAGTTATCAAGAAGGTATAAATGATACCTCTATATATATGACAATAAAAGTTTTTTTCTATCAGAATTAAGTAGTTAAATTTTTATTTATAACATTTAAAACTATAATTTAAAATAAATAATTTTAGAAGCAGCGGTACAGCAGTACTTTCTCAACCAATTCTCTCAAACGCACTCTAGTGGGTGATATATCTATCTTCTTTTTATATGTCAACGAAATATTAAATCCAAGAACTAGAGCCAAATCTGTTGAGACTTCAACAAGATTATGAGTAAATATTTGATAATTAACAATTTGTTAAGTTTCTTTAAAAGTATCTACAAGATATTTTGTAGAAAAACAAAAAGTATCGATAAGTCTCTAGTAAATGTGGGTTAGAAAAGATTTGTTACTGTTGGACACTTGCCAGGCGGTAATAATTCTTTTTGAGAGATCTTTTTTTCAAATGTTTTTCCGATATTTTTAATATAAAAATTATTAGAACATTGAAATTTGTTCCTGGTATACTATTGAGCGATAAGGATATTTGGACTTCATAAATTTAGTGAATATATCATTGGGTATTTTTAAGGTCTAAATAAATCTTGTTCCTTGTACAATCGGTTGCAACCAGTATTTACTATTTTACCTATAACATTACAATATTTGATTGTAAAGCTTTATTAACATATGGAGGAGAAAAGAAGATATATAATGAAATTATTTGATTGATTTACACTCTGTTTCTTTTTAAAATATTTATATGGGTATTTATCCATATACATTGTGACCGAAAAGTTTTCGGGAAATTTTAAATAAAACGCAAAATTCTTAACCTTCATCAATATTTATTTTATCTCCTTCAAAATATGCTCCATTAGAAGCGATACACAAATGCCAACGTTTCTTCCAATCATCAAAACATTTTTATAGGCGCTTTCCGGTATGGCTTTGAGTTCCCTCTGCGAATTCTGTTTTACGTCTTCTATGGATTCAAAACGCGTTCCTCTGAGTGGTAATTTGAGGTTGGGAAACAGGAAAAAGTCACACGGTGCAAGATCAGGTGAATACGGTGGCTGTTCGATGGTATTTATTGAATGTTTGGCCTTAAAATCGTTGATAATGTTGAACAAATTGAGGTGAATCGGAACAAGCCGGGCGTTGACACGTCGCATACACAAATTGTCCACCAAAATCAAACGAGCCATCTCACGACCGATGCCTAGCTCTCGTGCTATCTCTCTAACACTCACATGAGGATTTTTGAACACGATTTCCTTTGCCTTTTCAATGTTTTCGTCGGTGGTAGAGGTCGAAGGTCGTCCAGAACGCGGCATGTCTTCGACGGTCGTACGACAGTCCTGAAAGGCTTTGTACCACTCATAAACTTGAGTTTTCGATAAAACTGATTCCCCATAAGCCTTTTGTAGCATTCGCAACGATTCTGCACACGAAATTTCGTTCGAAAAACAAAATTTGATGCAAACTCTTTGTTCAATATTTTTTTCCATTGTTTTTTCCGCAACGCACTACTGAGGTGAACTGGTTTCAACAGCTGCCGTAAACGAACTGTCTGACAGATCGCGCTCATTTTTGGCATAGTAATTAAGGACAGTGCTGCCAAACTACATAAACTTAAAATATCGAAAAATATACAGCGCGCGAATTTTAAATGAGAATTTCCGAAAATTTTTCGGTCACAATGTAAGTATATTATTTAGTGAATTTTTTTTTAATATTATTAATTAATTTTTAATAATATTAAATATTATTTTTCTATTAAATATTTTTAAATATTATATTTGAAATAATATTTCGTCATATGTTAATACTACACTTATTGCTTTAAAAAGATTTGTTTGTTTGTATAATTATATAATTTTGTTAAATATTTTGCTATAATTATGCCTTAATTATTTATTCTTCAATTACCTAAAATTTATTTCGTCATATCTATTACTTTTTTCCTGTTTCTATATTACTAATATATAAATAAGTACGCAAGTTCGCGGCTTTAAAAATATTTACTTTACCAAAAAAAAAAAGAAACTTTAAGCTATAAGCATTATAAGTTGAGACCCAGAAACTAAAATTTTGTGAAACCAAACGAATTTATCAGTTTTATGATAAAATAGTTTTTATGTGTAATTATTACAAATGTGTAATTATTTTAATTTTATATTCTACAAAATATTTATAGACACATTTATATATAAATTAATTTATTTATATAACATATATTTACTATAAATCATACTCATTTGACAGGATTTTAGTTAAGCTCATTATTTCAAGTTCGTGTATTTTTAATGCACTACTACTATTCTACGATTTCTTAAAACCTAGGTGAACTTGGGTCTATGTGAAATGGCTTACCATCAATATGCAATAGTCGGAGATTTCTTTATGTTTATTGTTTTTATTATTAGTCCAGTAATAGTATGTTTCTACTGGCTTTATTAGATCAGTTAACTTACTTGAGATTGCTTGAATTACTTGAATCTCAAGTAAGTTAACTGGTCTAACGAAGCCAGTGGAAACGTACTATAATAGGGTTATTGAGACAATTCAAAACATTTTTAGTAATTGAAATTTAACCAATTATTTACTGTAATATGGCTAGAGTGTCTAATTTGTTTAGTTTCAAAAAATGGAATAATTTTAATATTAAAAATGTTTTCATAGACGTTTTTCTATTGAAACTTTTTCCATTCTTATTTCGAATTTAAAGTGCATTAGCACTTTATGTTTATGTTAATATTGACATAATTTAAACATTATCTATATGTATTTAGATGTAGGGTATTGTAAAGTTATTCACTTCGCAAATATCTGCATGTTGCTATATTATAAAGACATCTGGGGTTAAGTTAAATCTGAAACTATTATGGAATATAAATTAAATATACGATATTACAAGTAAAGAAAGTAAAATTCAATTTAAATTTGTTGAAGAGGTTTTCTTTAAGTTATTTAACTAATTGTCAGAATTTTCATATTGGTGTTAAAATAATAAAAATGTGAGCATATTCTACACTGACAATTAATCATACGATGATTAATGAAATGACTATCAGTATGAAAAGGTCTAAATTAATAAGGACTCAATTCAGTAACCCCAACACCCAATATGCGTGTAACATTTTGAGTACATGACTTAATTACTTTAGTAAATAATGTTGACAATTTTATATACATACAAATTAACTGCTTAGTCCATTAAGTTAATAGTTATTCTATTATATTTTTCTATTGGTTTGTTTTCATAAATAAGTAGGTTTTCATAATTTATAACTTAAGAGGTCTCTTATATAGTTTTAAATACTTTAGAATAACCCATACTTTTCTAAGCAGTTATACAAAGTACTATAATATATAACATATTATAAAAATTTTAAGTTCTGGAACAGTTTGACAATTTGATGTAAAATATGGTTGCAATTTTTTGAAATATACTATATAATAAAAAATTTTCACTGTGAGTATTTTTACAATAAATATTAATTTATATTGAAATATCCTCAAAATGACTTTAGGCAATAGTCAAAGTATTGGTGACAATAAAATAAATTTAAAATTGTTTATTACTTCAACAATTGATATATTTGTCCGTTCAAAAACATATAAATAAAATTTGGTGATTAAAATAATAAATTAATAAATATTAAGTAATTAGTAATATATAATTTTATTGAATTTTTATACTTCTTAAACTATTAAAAAGTTCTGAGTGTTCTAATGCCCATCTGGTTTTAGATATACAAATTTATAAAATTTAAAAATCTGTATAAAGAAAAATAAATGGATTAAAAATTATTACAAGATGGATTGTTTACGATAGGCCATCACTAAAATGCTGCCTCCCCTCGTAAAGGAAGACATAGTGTGCTTTTTGTATGTTTGTGTTTTTTCGGTTAGGCTCAGTTGGTATGTTAGCATAAAATATCTATTCTGATTTCACTGACAGTCGATCCAATAATAGCCAAGAACTTAATTTTTTTTATTTTATTTTATATACTCAAAAAGTTTTTTTTATTAACTTTATGCATTTGTTTATAATTCATATAATGAGAATGCTTAAAAACCTATATTATATATATAACATATAATATACCTAATAATAAAATATATATGTTATAATAATATATATATATAAATGTTCTACAGTATTTTGGTTGTTAAGTGACAGATTTTTTTTTCACATTCAATATTTTCCTGTAATATTATTTCATGTAACAAATTATTTCATATAAGGTATTATTTCATATAATGAATTACTTCATATAACGAATTATTTCATAAAAGGTATTACTTCATATAACGAATTATTTTATATAACGAATTATGCATTTGTTATATCGAATAGCTAATAATGGAATTTCTTCGTTCGTTAAATTAAATATTCTATTTGTTGGATATTCATTATATTCAATGACTATTTAATGATATTGTGTTATGAACATATGCTATTAAGCATAATATGTGTACATATGTAACATATGTATAAATATATATATAAATATTTATTTTTAGCCCTTAAACTTCAATCACATCTAAACCCCTTAAAAAACAGTTGATAAAAATTTCCCTTTTCAAAAGAAAAAGGGAAAATATAACCACACACTTTTTGAAATCAGTGTTAAAGAATAAAAATAAAATTAAATTCAAGTTAATAACTACTAACTTATTATAAACACAAACTGTATTAAAATATATACAATAAATAAATAAATTATTTAAAAATTAAAAATCCATATCTGACTTACAAATTGCACGAGTTTTATAATGCCGGGCACAGTTGTAAAATATCCAATATTTATTGTCAACGCACTCAACCCGCCACCTGTGCTGGTAGTTGTTGTTTGTGTTGTGGTACGTTCAACGTTAATGACGGTTTCAACCATTTTTATTAATTTTTTTTTTATTAATTAAAAATCTTTTTAAAGTTTATAAATGAAATTTATTACAAATAACTTGCAGTAGATAAGCTTAAGAAAAAAAATTCGTTGCTTTTTTACTGGTAGAACGCACTGGTAGGACAAAAAAAACCGACGAGTATTAAAAAATCGTTTGTAAAATGACAAAGTGAACAAAAACAAAATTTGTCAAATTTTTAAAATAAAGCAACAACACAATGCGTAAAACGACTTTAACTAACGGTTTCTGTTGACCGACTGCTCGACGCACACAAAAAAAAAACAGCGAAAGGAGAAAAAATTACCAAAATAAATTTATATATTTGGTTTTTTTTTGTAATTTTATTGCTACTCTGCTCTTCTCACACAACGAGTATTTAATTTGTGAATTTTCCGACCCAAGAGATCCAAGCGATCTTCAACGTACGAACGCGATTTTACAACTAACCTGATTGCGTTTGGAGGCAACAGTTTGTTGCAGTTTCAAGCTTTTTTCTTATTCAAATTTTTTTAATGCGTTTATTCAATTATTTTTTTGTTGTTTTTATGTGTTGTTGCGTATTTGTGATTACTGGTGCTGCTTTTTTTTTGCGTTTGTTGCTTTTTCTCCGCTGTTGTTAATTGTGAAGTGTTATGGACGTGTTGTTGCTATTATTATTATTTGTTGTTGTCGTTGTTGTTTGTCCACTGCTGAATGAGAAAACGTTTGTTTTATATTGAAACTTGTTGTTCTCTTAAACGTTTTATTTGATTGGTTTTTATGTTGTCTTTTGTTTTTGTTGTTTTTGTTGTTTGCTTTGCTTTTGCAGTAGCGTTTTTTAATTGTTTAGTTTTTTTTTATTGTTATTTAATTGAGTTCAATAAACAAAACTTATTATTAAGTTTTATATTAAATGAACTTATTTAATAAAAAAGTTTGTTAATTGAGAATTAATATTCACAGAACATATAATATATATTACATATATACATAAATATATAATTATATATATTATTATTATTTGAAAAGGGGTACCTATTGTTTCCCTTAAAGACCTATTGTGCCCTTTAATCGAATTAGAGTGTTTCTTCAAGTCCGATATCTTTAATGAAAGACAGTATAGAGCCTATCTTTCCTAGTCTTGAATCCTTATGATCCATAAGGATACTTATGATACCTCCTAGGTGTTTCTTCCGCTTGTGTTTTAGTGCCGGGCACTCCCTAAGCACATGGTATGCAGTTTCTCTCTCTTCTGTACAGTATCTGCTGTCTGAGTTAGATTGAATTCTTAATTTCGTTAGGTGATTATTCAAACTACAGTGACCGGTTAAAAACCAAGTATTGATTCTTAGGTTATGTTTTGATTGTTCTATATAATCTTTGAAACGTTTTAGGTTGTAAGTCCCTTAAAGCATTTTAGATTGTGATACTCTTGGTAGTCTTTCCCAATAGAGTTCTCTTTCTTTTTATTCAGTGCCGTTCATAAGAATGGATAGAGTTCCTTTGCCAAGACCAGAGAAAGATTCTGGGGCTATCATTATTGAAGTCACGCCTCTTCTTGCGAGTTTGTTTGCAATTTTATAGCTTTGGATGTCAGACCTTTCCGATATTAAAGACAATCAAGGCACACGTTGTTTTTACTAGCGTTTGCAGTGACAACCCATTTCCAGATGGACTTTATTAAAGCAACAAATAGTCTCATTAGAGGTAAGAAATTTGACTTCAACATAATATCTCATATAAAGCACCAGTTCGAATCAAAATATGGATTAAAGGTGGAAACCTCTAATACCCGAAAATGTTTATCAACGATACATATTTTGATGGCACTTATTACTAACGTATAAGGACTTTAGAGAAGATAAAGTACAGTTAACATTAGAGTCTAATTATTAAAATGTTGGTGATATTTCAGTAACAAAAGAAATATGGCATCAAACATGGGTGTATGTTAGTTAGTCAAGAAACTGTAGTTCAACAATGGATGCAGTATAATGAACAGTTAACTTTTGTTTAGTTAGGGTATTTCTCCCTGTATGTTCATGTATTGTTATATTTTTACCATAAAAATTAATACTTTTTATCTTTATTGTCCATTTAATAGTCTATTACACTATTATTCCATTTAATAATGGGCTTCTAAGTGGACTAATAGGAAAATTATCATGTTCAAATTGTATAGTGGCAATACAAATATGAGGTAAAGCTAATGGATGAAACTAAAGAAGGGTGTCTGTTATATCAGTATATCAACCACTAACCCTTCTGAGTGCTCTTCTGACTACTCCCATTAAAGAATATCAGCAAGGAATTGCTTTGTCCGATTATAAAATTTATTTTGCATTATAGTTTTAAAATGATGATTCTTATTAAAAAATATAACAACTTTATCAATAATATATAATCCATTCAACTCTCAAGTTTTAAAAATTACAATTCACATGTCATTAAAATTTTATTATTTATAAAAGATAAACTATTGTTAATAGTATTGAAATGATTAAATGTTAATATAGATTAATATTTATTAAAGTAATAATCATAATCCCTAATTATTGCTTTACTTTATTTTTGAAAATTAATTAAATTTTTTATATAAAATTTGTAGTCCAATTATATGGAATGCATAACTTTATCAATATTACATATTCCATTCAGTACTCATATTGTAAGAATTACAATTCTCATTTTATTAAAATTTTATTATCCATTAAAGGGTAACATTGTTAATAGCATTGAATTGAGAAAATGTTAATAGAATAATACTTGTTCATTCGTGTTTTTTTTTTTTTTTTGGAAATTAAAAATTTTTTTATATAAATTGTAGTATTTATATAGTTGTTAGACCATATGTATGTATGACAGTCATTTGCTATGGTAGGTGACGGCCCTTATTGCCCTTATGCAGGAATACAGAGGTCAACAATTAAAAGTTTTAAAACGTTAAAATGTTACATTTTATATTTATTCCATAGAAGAGAGAAGTCGTGTCTGTATCAGCATTTTATGAATCATAATCTTTAATTGTATTATCAATACAATCTGTGGTATCCATAAGTTCATATTATATCTAGGTCATAACAATTAGCAGTTTTAAAAACTTAAGCTTAAATATATAATTATGAATTTTTAATTATTATTAATATTTTAAAGGGTTTTTTAGGGCACTTGATTAAAAGGATAGATCGAAGAGGATGGATCCAATAACTTCTTTATAGGTAGAATCAGCGATATTTATCAAGTAATATATTTTAATTAGCAATATCGTGTTTAAAATATTAAACATATATAGAGTTCATAATGTTTAGATTAACTATTCTTTAAATCTAGTTATATTTACTGGAAAACTCTCTACTTTCAGTAATTAAAAGATTATATATAAGTTAAGAAGTGCTGAACGTTTCAACAATATTATCTAAATGGAGCATTTAAAATCAAACCCTACAAGATTTTTTATTGTGGATATATTTCGGAATGTTAGACCCAAAGCATTGCAATTCACAATAAGTAAGGTGAAACTAGGTTTGTTATATGTTTAATTGCAATTTTCATATTCTCTTCTCAGTAAAGATATAAAATTCTTTGTTCTTGAAAAGTCTATTATTATTTATTAAAAATTTTTTCCATATCATCGTAAAAGAAATTAGTAAAATAGTTTTATTGAAATCATTTCTCTCTTATTTTAAATATTTTATTAGTTACAAAATTTAAATATTTGATTTTTTTAAAAACTGGATAGACAATTATTTCTGGAGATATCTTTAAATCAGTACAATCTAAAAAAATCCCCAAATTCAATAATGTAACTGAATGCGATGAATCACATGCTTAAATTTTGGATTAGGCCAAGTATCGGAGTAATAACATGACTTTGCGCATTTATTGTTGTTCTTCAAATAATAATGTCTAATTTTTTATATTGATTACGGGACTATGATTCACATATTACCGCAGGTGTAGTGGTTAAGGCTAAAACATACACCAATTTGAAAAACAACTTTGGACATGGTTCGTACCATGTGAGCGACGATATCAGTTAAATTAAAGAATAAATTTTTCTAATCAAGCAATTGTGAGTAAAAAGTTTTTCGGTAAAAACGTGAGAAAATATATTCATCATTAAATATTAAATTTGTGAGAATTAATAGTTTTTCTAGAATAAGTTTTTTACTTTTAATGGTAACAATTAATTAGCTAATTTCTTAAGATATTGTTCAACACAGCGGTGACAGCGGTGTAAAAGTTCAGCAAAAATTTCATAAAGATTTTATATATGAAATACTCACGCGATTTCTATTTCACGGGCTAGACAATTTGGCACTGGGCGCTAGATGGCGTGTCTAATTATTGTTAGTGATTAATTCAAAGTTAAAGACTGATCTTAAAAACTAAGTTATATTGACATATAGTTTGTTGGTAAATGTTGCTTAATCCAGTTCTAGTTCATATTTTAATATATAATATTTTAATATATTAAAAGAATCAGAGCGAAAAATTGATATAGCCTGCTTTGACGAAGTTGTTAAAAAGACCAAAACGTTAATCGGTACATTTGTATATCTATTACTATATATTCATTCGCAATTATCTTATAATATTGTATGTTTATACTTGGAGTTATCAAACTATTAATAATATTTTTAAATATATTTTGTATGGGTTTTGTAAGAAAACATCAAAAAACAAACATTTTTATATATGGATTTTGTATCGAAAATTACATCTATTACTGCTATATATATATATATATATATATATATATTTACATCTTTTTTATATTATATATATTTAAGGTTATATTATAGCAATAAATTATAAACATTAGACCATACAAAATTACAAGTATACAAGAAGTTTAATTTTAATTCTTAATGAACGTTAATCAATATACATAATACACACAAAAAAAACAAATAAATTTTAAAAATTATTTTTAAAAATAATTACTTATATTATTATTATTTATTTTCATTATTAATTATTTTCATTATTTAATTTACTCAATATTCAGCATAATTTTCTATTTTATAATAGATGGCGCTTTGAAAATATTTTAGATAATTTGAACCGTACTGTACATATTTTGACATTTATCTTCTATTTGACAATTTTGACATTTATCAGCGCAGTGGTGACAACTTCAACAAAATGAACTTCCTCTTTTTCGATACGTTCGCGTTCGTGTGAATTTGTCAAGAAATTTCACAAAATAAATCTTAGGTAATCTTTGTGAAGAAATATATAAAAACGTATAAGATTTGTTATAAACGATCGCTGGAACTGTTTTGTGTTGTTTGAATAGCGGATATTGTGGATTTGCTAGCAAATATAAAGAAAAAATTACATTACATTGATTCAACTACGAAGAGCGGCTCGATAGCAGCTCAATAGAAATATTTGTTGTTTTTGTGTTATAAAAATGGCAATTAAACATTAATAATGTTTGTTAAATATCTTCAGGTTTAACAATTGCAATATAAATTACGACTTTGATGCATTTTCTAATGTAAAATTGAATTATTAGTTGCATTGAACAAGTGTTGCAGAATGCAATATAAAGCGGCTTGTGGTTGTTGTAAACTGACAGCTGTCAAAGTGTGAACGCATGCTGAAATAAAAGCCAACAACAAAAAGTTGTATGCCAATTTTTGTCCGTGCAAAATATTTAAATAATATTTGATGAATATTTTAATGCATTTTATCGATTTGAAATGAAATCAATTTGTTATTAAAGTAAGGAAATTAACCGAATAATAATTTTTGTTTTTTGGTTCATTATTTAAACTTTTAAACAAGTTCATGCATGGAGTGACCTGAAATGTTCCAAATCCTTTAAAATAAAATTAAAGATTTATGTAAAATTCTACATTTTATCAATTGATATTAATTGCTTTAATTTGAGAAAGTATAGCGTCCACATAGTTTTTTGTTTACAGCGATCAATACAACAAAAAAAAAAATGTTTTTAATATATTAAAATTGTTTTAAATTGTGATAAAATTTCACTAATGGTATTTTTTTCTTTATTTTAGCCATGGTGCGCATGAACGTATTAGCTGATGCTCTAAAATGCATTAATAACGCTGAAAAGCGTGGTAAACGCCAAGTGCTGCTCCGCCCCTGCTCTAAGGTCATCATTAAATTCTTAACTGTAATGATGAAACATGGCTACATTGGTGAATTCGAAATTGTCGATGATCATCGTTCTGGTAAAATTGTTGTCAATCTAACTGGACGCTTGAATAAGTGTGGTGTTATCTCGCCGCGTTTTGATGTGCCCATCAATGATATTGAAAAATGGACTAACAATCTATTGCCATCACGTCAGTTCGGTTATGTTGTATTGACTACATCAGGCGGTATTATGGATCATGAAGAAGCTAGAAGAAAACATTTGGGAGGCAAGATCCTTGGATTCTTCTTCTAAACTAAATTAATTTGTTTGCAAATATAATACTGACGTGTTTTTATATTGAAAACATTTTTATTTTTATTAAAAGATAAAGCAACAAAGATAATTGCATTTATATGGCAATTTAAGTGAGGAGAATAAAGGATGATAAAATAAAAAAAAGAAAACTTAATAATGTGTAAATGAATGTACAGTGATGAGTTGAAGTACTTAAGTTGTCAACCAAACTGAAGTTTCCATTTTTTGTGTTAAACAAATGTTTAAAAAATATTGTGTCTGACAATTGTTATTAGAAATATATACGAGTACTTGGATCTTTTATAAAGCGAACTGTAATTCCAGGTTTCAAGAATGACTGGGTCTACGTCCCGAAGTCACTAGTCGAGTTCACGACCAACTGTTATTCCCAGAAGAGACTATACCTGCAGATTCCTGTGAACTACACAGACAACAACAAACCCAGTCCATTATAGTTTAGTTGAGAGAAGCAACAATTCAGTTACAATGAATTTAAAGAAATTAGTGCTTGTATTAATCCAGCTGCTTGCATTAGAGCATTGGCTTCAGATTATATGCAGTAAGTTTGCTTTACGGTTTGGAGCTGTTTCTCGTATATTTGGTTACACTTACAACTGAAACTTTTGTGATATTCAACAATGTTAATCATGATTGGCGTATATAGTTTTAGAGGAACTCCCACAGATTCCAAAAAGGTCTTCTAATTCTGTTACCATCTTCTAAACGTTAGCCAATGTTAAGAAGAGTGGTGCCAACTTAAATGTTTCTGCCAGGACTACCTGAGATAAAAAAGGACTATAACGAAAAATTTAGAAGGTATATGCAGTGTAGTAATATATATAAAATAATTTTCTAAGTATTTTTCTAAGAACTGTATTTTGACTATATTTGTAAATATCTCAATTCTCAATTCAACCGTTTTTATACTAAATGTTGATACAAATTAATTCTCGATTTTGTGTAATAAATCCTGTCGCCAGCCTATAGGTACAATTTTACGATTTTGAAGTATGAAACCTGCAGGACCAAATTTTATTGTTATACAGCTTATTTGTTGTCATAGTCCGTCGACATCGGTATGGGAAGTAACATGAATGAAATAGCATAAGTTAGGATATGGTAATGAAAGGTAATTGTAATAGGATAATGATAAAGAAAATGTGTAAAATGAGAGCATTGTTTGGAAACAACAGTGGATAATAAATAGGACTTCAATAGAATGCAGCCAAAGATAAATTGAAATCAAATTGGTGTGTGCATTAGGACATAAAAATAGATTTGCGACATCATTGGGGTTAACTGCAGTAGCTGCATTTTTCTCCTCAGATTGGAGTCATGAAAATTTGTTTTATTTGCGATTGTTTTATCTTTATGAGATCATGCAACTCTCACTGCTTTTCCGAAGAGTTTAAATCTCACATTAGGACCTATTCTAGGTATCATTTCATGTGGAGACTCAATCTCAATTCATAAAAGACCTCAGCTACTGCTGAGCTGCGATGAGAATGTATTTGAAATTTTGATCATACTGCACTTATAGATTTTCTGATTATTAGTACTTTCGTAGATATATTTGGAAAAACGTAGGTATAATCAGTTCATTCGGTCTTTGATTTCATACGCATCATCTATATGGTCTGTAATCAGTTCTGTTTAATTGCTAGTCGATTTCGAAACTAGTAAATCCCGCTCGGTGAAAAAAATTAGGAAGACTGTTATTCTTAAATATTTTAACAACCAATCTAGTTTTTTTTGACTATCATTTTAGAAATTAATGGAGTAAAATATATAAAAAGTAGCGCAAAAAATCTTGTAACTCCAGATAATGGAAGATTCACTCAAAGAATTGGTGTCTACAACGGCAGTAATAGTACTATAAATAGGTCGATAATGTTTTTTAAATTAATGAAAGGTGTCTGATATACTTGTTAAACTCAAAAGAGTTGATTTTAACGGCAATGAAAATGAATAATTTCTGAAAGTAAGAAAGTCTCCTTTCAGAAAGAAACCTTCTATTATCTATAGAAAGAAGAAAGAAATAAAACGGGGTACTAGCGGAGCAGAGCACTGCGACCAGATTGATCTTTTGTGCTGCAACTGACCCTAACCGAACAGAAGACATTCCGCTTTTCGAATGAAAGCCAGAATGTCGTCCGTTGAGGACATCCTAATGTCAGAAGAAGAGAGCAGCTCTCCTCCCAGTGACATATTCTCTCCCAGTGAGAGAGTATGACTGGTAGTCTCGTCTGCTTCTAAGCAGCGTCGACACTCCGTCTCTTCGGACAAACCTATTTTATTAAGGTGATAACGTAGTCCATGGTGACCCGTTAAATATCCCACCAGCAATCTCAAGTCTGATCTGCTAAGGAGGGATGCCTTGCTATAACTATATGGGTGAACCAGCTGTTTAGCCTGACGGTTACCTCGATTGTCGCGCCAGTAGCGAGCTCTCTCGGCTAAGATCCATTTATCCATTAGATACCTAGTTGTAGACCAATTTAATCCACAATAGGGTTCCGGTCCACAGATTTGAGTGGCAGATCCTGCCCTTGCAAGACTGTTGGCAGATTTTCTATCATCTATAACTATTTAGATATATTTGTATCACAAAAAACTTTTTTCAATATAATATATATAAATATAAAAGAAATAATTATTGAAATTATCAATAGAGTACAAGTTGAATCCATAAAGTTTGAAAATATATTAAAGGTCAAGGCTTGTTTGGTTTAGATTATGCGAACCATGACATTTTTTATATAAACATTTATTTATGCTTTATTATTATTAATAAATTTGAAAATATATGAAGTTTTTAATGTTCAAACATTATAAAAAGATTCAAAAATACTCATGAGTTGTAATTAAATAATGCTTCGATATGACTCAAAGGTAATAAGGGAGTTAGCCTTGAAGTGTTGATATGAAATAAATGACAGTCAATTTTCCGGTAGTTTGCTATAATTTCAGAACAACATTTATAATCAAATAAAAAAATTCTATTAAATAAAGTGCTACACATTAATACAACTAACTACATTTTTTACAACCTTAATAGGTCACATACATATATTGTGCTCAATGGAGTCATTGACTGAAGTTAAGAATTGACATATGTCGAAGATTTTATCATCGCGTGACTAGGCGGTTTACGACATAGAGGATATTGAATTTCTATTTCGTCCTTTAAAACTTAGCTTTACATTCCATTCACATTCCATTCGAAATTATGTTAAATTTATCTTATATCAGTTGATTACCATTTTTGGATTGCAATGATATGAACAATAATTATTGTATGTATTTTTCTATTGATTGGTAATGATAATTAACGTTGTCTCTGTATGGCTCAAATTTATTTACATTGAGAAATTAATAATGTTGTCAAATCAGAAGTAGGCGATAAGATTTATCTCCAGAACTATGTTTTAGATATCTTATATTAATACCTATGTACACAAATTAATAGTGTAATACATATCTAAAACAAGCCTTTTGATTTTCTTTAACACTTATCATAGCATACCTACATGTAATGATAGTTGCAGTTACTGTGATACATAAAAACAGATTAACAAAAGTTAAGCAAGTCTTTGGAATTCTTAATATAACAGGAAAATCTCCGAATATATTATTCCGTTCGAGAATAAGATTGCTCAAAGCTGTTGCTACATTACAGTGACAGCTGGACTATAATCACCTGTAGCAGTCAAAGCCATCAAGTCTTTGTCAAGCGTATAATATCTTAGTTGGTGTAATATTTTACACTTCTTGGACCTTCACATCCAAACCGAAATATAGCAATAAAAAAAGTCTTGATAATTTTTATATGTGGAGTATACCAAGCCTTTAAGTGTCCTTTATTTATAATGCAGGTAGTCGATCGCCTCGTATACCAAGACGTCATATACTAAGACTTAATGCGTCTTCTATTTACGATGCCGGTAGACGATCGCGTGCCATCAATACGCATCCGAAAAAGTTATGATGTCAAAGATAGGTATACCATTATATGTCAGATCAGTGGCCAATCTGCATGTAAGGAATTTATAATGTCAACGATAGATATGCCATCAACTTTCAGATAAGTGCACTCTGTTTATGACGCTAGTGGAAGATGGCGAGCGCTTAATACGCTTGAGAAGAAGATATCATGCTTTATTTGTAAAACAGCATCAATAGTGAAGTTCTGAGAATCTGCTAAAATCTTTTATATTGACACCTCGAAAATATCCCTTGATACTGAATATGGGTGGTACTTGAATGAAGAAAGTATTATAATCTATTGGAAGTATGACCATAGTTTTCCAAGTGCAAGTGAAGATGACTTGTACGATTATCAAGAAGAAATGGGACGGAAAGTGTATGAACAATTATAGTGACAATCAAAGCACACTTCGAAAATCATTATCTTCAAAGATGTTTAGTGAATATTAGATAAATTCTAAATAAACAGTGTTCCAAATATAAACAAAACTAAACGAAAACTAGCGAAACTGTTGCAATTATTTGCGATTATGCGGGAATATAAAATAGAAGTTATGTCAGAATTCTAATCTGATCTCCAAAGACTGGTTTCTTTGAATAGAGTGCAACACTTGAAATTCTAAATATTATTTTTAGATAGATTAAAAATTATTTTGTAATCCAATATTCCCGTTTTCTTGGAACCTATCCTATAATTTTTGTTTAAATATTTTGCACACAAGTGTAATATTGAAGGGTTTGGTTATCTATTATATATACTATGTATAACATTACACCTCATTATCATTTAAGCTGATTTCAATTATTGAGTGCCACAAATGAATATATACATGTACGTATCAATGTATAATATACGAATTCCTATAGATAAATTTAAACAAGTTTGTATATTTGGTATGTTAACACAAATTCTTAATCAAATAATTGTTAATACTTTGTTATAAGTTCCGTTTAAATATTTAATGACATGAAACGAACATGAACTTGGGGAATTATTCTTCGAGTTTTACGGAAGAAAATATCACGCTGATATTAAAGCAATGGAGTTATGGATCCCTTTTGGCAATAAATAAACTCATCCACAAGGTGAATACTAAGTAATTAATAACACTATAACAGTCATCAGAATAAACAGCTATTAGAAGAGTTATAATTTTAATAA